GCCTCTACCCCACCTTCCTAAAACGTAACTAGAAGCACGCCCTTCCTCTTGATCTTACTAAATATGGTCTTATTCTTCCACCAATTTCCTTTTTGTAGGTGTTTTGTAATATGGGCAGTAGTTTGCCTCCTGAAGGAAGCCGACCTAGTCCACAACAATCTTGCTCACGATACCATGCCCTCCTCCTCCTCCTTGGTCCGGGCCTACAATTGGGCTCTAAGGGGGTCAAAGAGTGCACGGGCAAAGTTATTGAGGATTTGTGTTGGAGTCGAGCCATGCTCCGGGCATTGCAAAAATTTGTCCATGGTGGCCTTCAGGGCGGGTACACTTTTTCACCTATGGTTGCCTAAGTTGACGATCAAGTACTCGGTCCGCCAGGCCAGGTTCTTGTCCTCGAACCTTTCCTTTAGGGCCCTCATAAAATCCTCTACATCGGTGCTTCGGGAATATTGCACCATCGTTGTGCATCCGACTGCCTTTACCAATGAAAGGACGAAGTTGGTGGCATCCCCGCCAACGTAGGAAGTAGCCACTAACACACGGTCAGAGTACGAGATCAACTGCGCGTACAAATACAATTCCATCGCAGCCTCCCACTACACAAAATTATCCTCCTTTTTCCCGGTGTATGTCTAAGGGCACTTCAACTTCTTTCTTTCTCTCCATTCCCCTCCTGCTGTCTTCTTCTCATCTCCCTTTTCTTCTCTTCCTCCTTTTCCATTATCTCCATCTCTAGGGCCATCTCCTCCACTGCCACCCATTCTGGTTACTTTGGCATCAATGCTTTTGTGCACGATGCCCTCCAGTTCTATTGCATAATAGGCCGCCTTTTCATCATTCTTGTGAAGATTGACCACGACGAAGTTATTCCATTTCCCTTCGGACTCATCGTGTTCCATCCGTTCAATGGTAGTGCGGGTGACGGTGTTCTCTTCGGCTAGGTGCAGGTAAGCATCAGTGAGGAGGGTTAAACTAGTAGCAACATCGTCCGCGCCTACTTGCTGCCCTTGCAGTTTTTGCCGGATCACTTCCCCATCTTCCTTCCAGCTTTTTTTTTGTCACTCTCTGCCATCTTCTGCGCCACTTGTCATGTGTGAATGGTGGTCCTCCTTTCCTCAATTAGCAGCGCTTTCTCAGCAGGATCAGCCGCCTAGCCCGAAACTGTAACTCCTCTTTTGCGGTCTTATCGACCGGCCTTTCATCACAAAAGGTGAATCCTTGGATCCGCTCATCTGGTTCATCAGCCTGCAACAGGATCTAAGTGGATCGGACTCCGTTACTTTCCCTCTCCTCCCTCTTCAACACATACTCATCTCCGCTACTTTCCCTCTCCTCCTTCTTCAACACATACTCATTCCTGAGTTGTGATGTACGAGCTTCTGTACCTCAAAATCTTATGAAGCCATGGCTTTTGCTATTCGTGTTTTTTCAATCTCTAACATGGCTTAGGGGCATTCTTTTTGGTTGATGGATGATGCCTGGAGTCCATGGACAATGAGGCCCTCGCGTTTTTCCTTTTGACTTGTTGTTTTTCTCGGACTTTTTTGCAATTTCTTTCCGGTGGTCCAGAAACTTACGTAGGACTTACACGCGCCTTAGCAAGCGGGTCATAAATTTTGTTCGATAGTTGGGAATTCTGGAATTGGCGGTCATACCTCCCGCTGACGTGTCGTTTTTTGCAAGTGAATTTCCCCTTGAAGGCGCTGTGAATTTTCAGTGGGAATCCGAATATGTGTAAAATTTTCCCCCCATCCAATCTCGCGCGTGAATATCGTTTTTGAAATTTTCAATCTTGAATTAGTTTTAGAGCTAGAATGGATGGAATGTATCTGTTTCGGTGCCCTTTTTATCTTTGTGTCGACGCCATGTATGCAAGTTTCCCCCACTTCCTGCTATACCCATGTCATCTTCCCCTCCCTCTTCTTCGCACCTTTCCTCCACCCGTAATTGTTTTTCATTCCCTCTCCCTTTATGCTTCTCTCCCTCTCCCTTTACGCTTCTCTCTCTCTCCCTCTCCCTTGCCGACTTTGCTTCCACCACCGCAATGCAACTAGTTCCAGTCTCACAAGATCCGACTGACAACACAATATGCATGTAGAGAAAGTTCAGATGGAAGGTCACACCATATTTGACACTCAACACATGAAGCAGCGCCAATTGGAAATCCACTCAAAATTATGATATTATATAATTGAAGAGTCCAGGTCACCAGCGGCTTTGACCGCAAGTTCTTGACTCCCCTTTTTACTCTCTCTCTCTCTCTCTCTCTCTCTCTCTCTCTCTCTCTCTCTCTCTCTCTCTCTCTCTGAACTTGTATTACTCACTCTCACTGTATGCGCTCGCTCCCTCTCTCACTCTGGCCCAGGTCTACCCTGAATAAACTACGATGTCACTCTGAGCTTGGGCGGCTATGGCCGCCATCTCCCTCCTCTCGAACCCTAGTTATGGCAACCACTCCTAAGCTGGGTGCTTCCTCCTTCCCCCGGCGCTTGCCCTCTTGTCCAGGTTGCGTTATCGCACAAGCAGCTAGCAGCGCTTCCGCAACTTTGCGAATGAACATCAGTCTTGGCCTTGCACTGTAGCAGCTAAATATAGCTGCAGTTGACTGTTCGTGCCTGCTTTGCACCAGTTCCGGTCGCCCGCGGCCTTTGCCTGGCCAAAATTGTTGCTTCCAGAAGTCTCCGGACTTGTTGAGACACTGGTGCAAAAATTGGACTTGGGACTGACTTCCGATACAGACCGACTTATACCGGACTTGTGGCCTAACGACCTACGACGCTTCGACCCTATGGACCCTGGACCTATCCTGCCGGGACAGCTTGGGACCGGGACCATGTGGGACTGGTCCCAACCGGGACTGGGACAATTTGGGACCCTGGAACCGGGACTCGAGGTGTCTGCAGTGTGAAATCCGTTAATCATACATCCTGTCGGACCGTCTGATTTGAAGCATCTTCATGTTGAGTTTGCTCTCATTATGTCACCCAGAAAGACTGCCCAGCCAAATTCGCCTCCTTACAGTGGCAAATAATCCACCAGTGTCTCCTCACCAACAATTGGCTAATCAATCGTACCCAGCTAGAGCAAAAAGGAATTGCCCTGCCATGGTGCAAAAGGTGTCAGGAGGTGTTCCCCTGCCGGAAGATCAGGGAAGCGATAGAGCACGTCTTCCCCCAATGCCCCAGTTCAATGACTAGGTGCCTGGCAAGCAACTCTCCCCTCCACCTTTGCGGCTAATCTCTTCTCACTTGGTAGAACAGCAGTGCTCTGGGGTCTGTGGTGGAAGCACTGCGTCCATGCCATGGAAGGGGTCAAGGTCAAAGGGGCTGAACTCGCCAAAACAATCCTACAGTTTATCCAGACCGAACTACAGGCCACATGGAAGAACACACGAGAAAAGATGCAACTTGTCACATAGAAAAAAGACATTAAAAAAGCAATTAGCAACTTCTGCTCTGGCTGGCTGGGAGGGGAGAAAAGGGGATGGATTGCATCGTGGCACACATCGAATGGCCAAGGGGGGAGGGGGGGGTAACCCCGCTCAGAAAGGACTACTTACTTGTCTTTCACGGTTGGCTTCAGATCGACCCCCAGATTCCCCTGGAGGACCCTGAGTACTTCCCCAACATGTTCCCCCCGCCTGGGCTGGCACTGATAGATCTGCAATGGTTTGGCAGCACACTTGAGCAGCAATCTCCATGGTAGCCAGGATGCAATGGTCGTGCTCATCCAGTTAAGATATGCCACAGTAGGCAGCCCGTGTGAGGACTGAAGAGGGAGGCCACGGCCAACTTCAGTTTTCTCATGCACGTATCAACATTCTGTTCAGGGACTCTGGACCCGTTTTCCAGCAGGCGTCTCTCCCCACCAATAGAAACAACCCATTCCCCAGCAAAAAAAAAAAAAAAAAAGGTCCCAGATCTCTAGGGCTTAGTATTAGCAAAGACTACCGCAGAAGGCCGTAGTGACTGGCGTTTGAAACAAGTAGGGGTTCACTAGGAGCTGTTTGGCTTGCAGGGGTATCGAAAATATTTTTTCTCGAAGACTCAGGGGTAGTGAAACCGTGGTACAGACTGGCGTTTGAAACAAGTGGCTGCC